TGGCCCCATCCTCCTGACACCCACCCTTCAGATATTTGTAAGTATATATTAGGTCCCCTCGCAGCCTTCTCTTCTTCAGGCTGAACAAGCCCAGCTCCCTCAGCCTCTCCTCGTAGCAGAGATGTTCCAGGCCCCTCACCATCCTTGTAGCCCTGCCCTTGTAGCAGGACCCTTTGCAGCCATCTATGCATGGTTTATTACCTTCTTATACCGATGGATGAAGAAAAATGAGACTCTAAAAGCAGTCTGCTTCTGGTAAATATTTAACTACTAGAATCATGCCAACATATTTCTCAGCTTGATTCTCCTTAACTTTACTTCAGCATCATGCTTTCATCTTCTCCTATGGCCTGAAGCTGATAGCATATCGTATTTAGCTATGTAAGTGTACTCCCGCTCTGGGATGTGAACAGATCCTACTAACAGATTACGACAGCATTTAATTTGAGATGAACTTCAGTCACTCCTTTTATCTGTTCAGATAAGGAATCATCTGAATGTTTGTTCTACACTTGTTGCTTTACGAGCTTCAGCTTCACAGATTAGAAAAACTTGCTCTTTCCTCAACTATTAGCAGAGGGGGAGAATGATTCTTAGTCTCTAAAACTATTCGGAGGAGACTGAGGGGTGGCATTTCACAGCTGTGGGTCAACTGCTCTCCACTTGGGTGTAGACCACGGCAGGGAAGGGCAAACGTGGAAAAAGTCGTCAGCCAACTCCAGGCCCCAGCAGCTACAGGGAAAGGTCAGTAGCAAGCACTGAGCAGCCCCAATTTATTGTACCCTTCTGAGGACACCAGGTAAGTTCCGGCCACTGTTTGTTCCAGACAGAGAGTGCATGCCCACACCTTCACGCCGCAAAGATCACAGCACTGGGGCGTCTCCATCCCTGGGGACTCTGAAGGAGAGGCTGGAGTTGCAACTATCAGTTCTCCCTCTTCTTTGCCTCTTTTCTTCTGTCTTGAGCCTGTTAAAATTATAGTAGCCAGCACGTTCAGATCTCCCTAGGAAAGAGTCAGCTGAATCCTGCTCTCCCTGTCAGCATTCAGAACTGAAAGAGCAGCATGCAGAACTGAAAGAGCAGCATGCAGAAAAGAACAGACTCCACCTAAAACGCCCAAGATCTGGAGTTACAGGGTCCCTATCTGTAAATCTATCTGCCAAGAAAATCATGTACATTCACACTGATTAAAATGCTACAAAGGTATCAAATCCAAAGGTCCAATCTGAAGTGCAGTTCTGGACACATCTGTGGGTCTAGGCAACATTGCAATTTCTTTTTATGTCTTTTAGGTGCCACTGCAATGATAGGGCAAAGCAGCTTTCGTTCATATCTCTAATTTGCAGCAAAAGCCGCTAGTTAGACCATTTGCATAAGAAGAAATGGTTTTTAATGAGAATTCAGAACATCACTCATTTCTGTAACTCCAGCTCAACTGTCACCAGCACCATTAGAATAGTAATGCCAGGACTGCATTCCCAACTCTACCTTCAGATCCATAGCAAGCAGCAGACCTCATTATTATGCCAGCTGTTTCACTTCTGTATTCCACTAAGAATGGAGGACTTGCTCTGCAGGCATTTTATCAGCATGAGTTAAACTTACTTCAGTATTAGTAGCCATAAAACAGACGATTACGTTGCATTTGGCAGTGGGCAAGAGAAAACAGCTTTCAGTTTAGCCTCTGTCCTTTCTACAAAGCAGAGCTCAGCATCCCATGGTGCTGGTGCAAAAAGATGGAAAAAGAAGACCATGCTGCCTCACAGGGCTGGCATCCCAGTGTGTTGAGAGTCATCAGCCTCCAGCTCCCAGCTCCCATGGAGCTCTACACTGAACAGAAACCAAGAGGCAAGATATTGCCAATTAACTGGCTGGCAGCATCTCGCTGCTTTGAGAGACAGCACCTCTGGCTTCCACTGAGTACCTATCAGCATGCTTAACCTCTGCCTTAGCAAAGAAAATGGCAATTTGACATGTTATCCTAGACAAGCTATTCACCTTGATTCACAGCATCACTGGATAGATGTGATTAGTGTCCAGCTGACAATACTTGATTTAGCTCTCACCTCACTATACTTCAGATCTTAAAGATGGAGTTACATATTTTAAAAATGCTTTCACATTAGCTCTGCTAAGGCATTGTCAACATTAGAAGGAGCTTACTGATATTGCTATCATCAAGAAAGACACAGGATATATATATGGGAGTCCTTTAGCTACTACTGGCTCTGAAGTGTCTAATTAAAAAAAAATCCACGCAACTTCTCTTCCCCATCAATTATCAAAGCTATCAGCTGCAATACAGAAAATGATCAATAAACAGTAAAACCTAGTGGCAGTTACATAGCTAGACACTGAGAATTTCCCTGTATGTTTATCAGAGCATCACTCCCCATACTCGTTCATATTTCTTATAATTTTACATATCCTACCCCAAATTAAATGTGTAAGTATATTAATATTATGGTAGCATGCTATTCTAAGTATTTTGAGCCTAGAATTTTCAAAGTAAACAGAAAACAGCTGACTAATAAATGCTATAAGTTACACTCAAAAACTGCAGTTACAAATACTATGTCTCCTGTTTATGAGAATTTTAAAGCATCCAC